CGGAGCGGGTTTGTTTTGTAGCGCACTTGCTAGTTGTAATTGCAAGCTCTCAATATCCGACTCTGCTTTTTTCATATTCGCCTCCAACGAAGCAATGAATGCAGTCGTCTCAGCTACTTTGTTAGACAGCGCAGCAATCTCCTCATCGATGCGTTTTGTTAAATTTTGTTCCAGTTCAATCAGCTTCTGAGAGACACTCTCGACTACTGACATAAGACGGTCGGTTTGCTGCTGGAATTTCCCCTCCATTTCTTTTAGTTTAGCAAAGACAGCGGTGAGGGTTTTAGACATATTTTTTTTGGATGTTGATTGGACCCGGAATTAAACCTGATTCTCATATATTGGTAGTATGATTGGTTTTCAGAAAGGAGCGAGCTCGTAAAAATGTTGCTATTTAATTTGTGCATGTGCATAAAAATGAATAAATGCAATTGAATTTAAATTACACAAATGATCAAAGCGATCTTTATCGATACAGTATATTCCATTTAGCTGCTTATTCGCTTAGGTGCACTTTTCGCTTACATGCCCTATTTCGCCAAAATACTACTTCACAAAATGAGTTTTGTACGAAAATTTCAATTTTTGCTGAATTTTCGCTTAGCAGCACTTTTCCGTTTAACCGCCCTCTTCTTGATTTCCAATTTGCTTAAAATATATCTTTAGTATTTTCAATAACTGAAAAGCTATCCATAAACGCATGCTACGATACTCTTTTGAATGCATGGTTATAAGCTATAAAACTGCATACCAAAAATTATTCTAGAAATTAAAATTAAAATGTATAGGATTGGGATGAAAAGTTAGTGGAATTTTTAAAATTTTTGTACAAAGTCTGAAATTTAGATTTATACGGTACTAGCCGGCCACGGTATTTGGAGAAAGAAATCATATGTCATCATGTACTTCGTTTATTATATACATAAAACATCTTGTCTAAATCCGCTCAGTAGCGTGGTTGAAATGGTGACAGGTAATAAGATCAACGGAAATAAGGTCAATTGACTTTATTTCCCACCCTGGTGCGAAATAAGGCAATTGACATTATTACCTTTTTAAAAACGAAATAAAATCAATTGACATTATTTCTCTTTCAAACATTAAATTTGCTTAGCTTCGCGGCGGCCCGCGTTGGCGCGCCAACACGCGCGCCGCGCTCGCGTCCCGCGTACCACGCGCGACCGGCGCGCACACCACGTCACGCTACGCCGCGGCGTAGTTTTTGTGCAAATTGCAGATAGAGTTTATTAATGAATTCAAGCCCTCGATATTTCACCTTTTTACATTTGTAAGTTATTGGAAGCAGGGATGCCAACTTGGTTCAAACCGTGCCATTTGTCCCTATTTTACTTCAAATGGCACTTCATTTTTCAATTTGGCATAATTTATTATTTCTCTCTTTGGCACATTTTGGCACTTTTTTTTATCCTCAATATGGCACCTCATAATTAAGGATAGTTGGCAGCCCTGATTGGAAGATTTCTGCTGTTTTGGGGCAACAACTTGTCTGCAGTAAAAAGGCATATAATTTGTGTTTCAAAAGTGTGTGAAAACCAATCAATAAACTTATATGATCTCGGTTCCGATATTAAATAATCAATAATTGT